CGGCTCATCTCTCAATTGCTTTCAGTCTGGCTTCTCACTGAAAAACATGACGGAAAAATACAGCTGAGGTCTGATTATCCTGAATTTTGAAGGCTGTGGAAAAGGCAAAGGTTTGGAAATAGATGCTTTTTTTATTCAAATTTACAAAAAAATGTTCAACAGAAATAAATACAGTGCACGCAATTGTGGAGTTGTATTGACATTGTGCAGAAGCAATGAGATCCAGGGAGGGTGCACAACCAATGGGAATGACTGGTAAGAGGTTGAAAGGTCAGGTTAAAGGTTAGAGGTCTGGGAATCTACATAAGAAAGTCTATATAATAACACTCTTAGATAGATATAGGAATAACAGAAAAAGGCTATAACTCACAGATCAGCTTTGACTTTAAAAACATTCTTTTCATCTATGTCATCATGGCATCTTAAAGCAAATTAAACAAACACTTTATAATAACATCACTATTTACAGTCTTAATAAAGCCTAAAGAAAAACTTAATTCAAAATGAACAAATAGTTGCTTAAAGGTCCTATATGATATAAAACGGACTCTCATGAGCTTTAAGCCAAGTTATAATACTGTTACCTCCTCAAAACATACCTGGAGTTGTGTTGTGGTGTTTTGTTTCATTCACACATGTTTGAGCAATCCTTGATTGTAAGTCTGTCTTTGTCTTGAAAACTTCTGCTTCGTCTTGTGATGTCGTGAAGTGGGAGTTTTCAATTTAACAGCTCCTTTTACCTTTACTTCAGTAGAGATTGGCAATTCGGAAGCTGAATTATTCTAGTGAGGGTGTATTGAGTTTAAAAATACAATGAAGCACTTCTTGTATTACCACATAACATCACAAGGTTAAACAGAGTGTTTTCTGTTTGAGAGAAGCACTCTAACTGCCTAACTCTACTTATATGCAGGGTTTGTGTGTTAAATGTGTAAATGAAACAAAACACAACTCCATGTATGTTTATGATGAGGAAACAACATTATAACATAGATCAGAAAATAGCATAATATGGGGCCTTTAAGATTAATTCATGCTTAGTAACTACTAAAGGGTTATAGCAGAGGTCTCCATACTGACATTAGGTTTTTGTTAGCCCACAAAAATCCTTCTTAACTGACAGAATTGGCTATAATCACAGTCAGTACTTTTTACTGTAAATTCAAGTACCTCAATAGCATTGCATTGCAGTTGCATAGTGTCACAAGAGTTTATAAAGGTGTTGTGGCTTAGTCAAATCTATGTTAAGTCTTTATTCATAACATATTAAGACTGTAAAATCCTTGCCCTATAGTTATTATAAAGTGTTAGCAAACAAACAAACAAAATATGCAGGCATTGTAATCTAACTGAAATCTAGATTTTCAAAGCATTGTGGCCAAGACAAAGTTAGAGAAATCTTTTCCTGTCACCTTATAGTGCATCTATTCTCTCAAAAGCAGAAAAGAAAAAGGGGGTTTTCTCTCGGGGGAATGCGGCTTTATCCTATTTAAAACAACTTATTCAGCTAATCAGGCATTTGATTGGACCAATTTTGGGGGCTCAGAAGGGGGAATAATCAGAGAGAGCAGTGCTTCAGTGGGTGAACAGCTTCACACGTCTGATATAAGAGAAATCAGGCGATCCTCAGCTGGATTTGGTCCAATCAGCCAAAAGAGTGCCTCAAAAATACAGCCAGAGGAAAATCTAGAGCCAATCACAACTGGGATTAACTACAAAGAGTCACTTATAGGCTCTGCTAATTGTTATTTTATTTTAGATTATAGTTTAATTATTGGTTCTGTAAGGTGCTTATTTGGAGAGAGGGAATCGAAAAGTTGGCACAGTTCATTTGCATAATATAACTGCTCACACTGCCTTGGCAAAGTATATTCAGTCTATTTCTCTAATTATAAAGATTTGTCCTACACAGTATATGAAATTCACAGTGTTTTCTACATTTACAGCCAGTTTGTGAGTATATTTTGGCACAAATTCCCTTAATCAATGACAAAATAAAAAAAAGAAAAAAAAAACACACACACAAAATAAGGATTGAAACAAAACAGAAAAAGTAACAAAAAATAAATATGCAATTATTACTTGTGTAAATAAATCCAAATTTAAAATGTATTTGTTTTGTGTGTTTCAGTACTGCAGCATAATGTTGTCTGGTGTAGATCAATATGTTTTTGAGAGGTCCATTGGCAGAAGGCCAAAATTCATCATTTCCACTGAGGTTGTGCACCCCTGGTTCACATCTCTGGTTCTTGTGCAGATTTACAAGTACCACAGAGTATTGTACATTGGTCCTAATCCCATCCAGGCGCTGTGGGTGCTGGTCAGTGGCTCAGGTAGAGTGTACTGTGGGTCAGTTGGCCTAGTGCCCCATGTGTACCTCCAGTGTTCACATTAGAAACCATGACAACAAGACATGAACCAAACAGGCAGAGCAGGTCGGTGGCTTTACAGTGAACCAGTGATGGACTATGATGTTTTTGATAAAGCACTCTGAAGAAGCCCACATTCTGTATATAGATAGATTTTGTGGGACAGCATCTTTGATTATAAATTGGGTATTTATATAATTTACTGTATATAATATATGACTTTGTTATGGTATAATCAAATATGCCATTATTTTTTACAGAGACATTGGAATTCCCTCTAATCACAAACTCTATATGTCTAATTTCATAAAGCTCTTTCTCAGTCAGTACAGGTGCACCTCATGAAACAAAAATACTGTTGACAAATACATTTATTTCAGTAGTAGTGTCCTTAAAAGGCTTTTATTTTGTGTATAATATTTCAAGATCAACCTTTGTAATGATTTTAAAGCTTGCAGCCAAAATTCTATATCCCATTAAGAATGTGTAAAAACAGATAAATTAATATTACATAATTATTAAACTGTAATCACTTTGCACAATATTTCCACTGTTATTGATGTGCACCTGTATATTACCAAACCAGGCCAAAGAAGTAGCACTGGTCTTTTACATAAAAACTACATTATTCTGTGTCATATTCAGATAGAGATTGTAGTCCTGTGGGAGCTTCTCCTCACTCTCACCATTGGATGTTGCTCAGATTGGCTCCTCGCTAGGTCAGGCTTGCTCTGAGGCATTCTGTAACTAATATTGTGCAGAGGAAACTTTGGCCAGAGGCCACATGTATAATTGAAAGCTTTGCCTGTCCATCCAAAACGGGAACAAGCCACATCATGTGTAAACAGATCAAGAAGTCTTGCTCTTTATCCATTTCTAATCTACAGTATACGTACACAGTCTCCACAGTGCTGCGTTTGGACATATTTTACACTCATGTACAGGACTGTGCAAAAATCTTAGTCAGGTTAAGAAAAACTATGTAATAACAAATGTACAAAAATACACATTGTAAAAAAAAACTTGGAGCACCTGTAGAACATTGACCTCTGCCAAGGCATAGGACAAAGCAATGCCCCAGACTGCACTCAAGCTCAAGTTTTTTTTAAGTTCATGGTTACCACTGAGCCACAAACAGATCCCCAGATATCAACAGTGATCTACATTCACACAAAATTAAGAATTGAATTCTTGGTCCATGACTAACTATCCTTAAAAAGTAATAAATAAAAAGAGATAAATAAATAAAAGATGCTTTATACATTTAAAGCACCATTTTAATCACCCTTCTAAAACTTTTGCACAGCCCCACATGTGATCACAATAATATGTGACAATATTTACATAGTTTTATTTATACATACAGTCAGACATGTTAACTCTTTTTGTTTAACTGACATCTTAGAAAACAACTATGACATGATTCATTGTCTAATATTGAACATCACACAGTAGAAAAGTGCTTTTTCAACTGAAAACTCTGACCGTTAACATTTGAATGTATTCACATTTTTGGCCAGAATTGATTGCCGTAGCTTCTTTTGTTTTACTGGTTTTAAATGCATGCCGTGAGTCTGCAGAAGAGGAGGAGGACTATGTATAAAAAATAGTAGGGACATCCTTAATAAAAACATTTATAGTCCAATAAAAGTGTTGAATTCTCCATAACATAAATTGAATGTATGTATTTTATCACCGTACAATCAGAGCCAGTTACTTTGTGTGTCTTTGTGAACGCTGAGAAGACCCGGGGGATGGCAAGTGGGGTGAGGCCGGGGATACAGTGGATGATACCCTTAGCGAGCTTAAATTTTTCACAATGTTTCTTTTTTATCCTTGTGGGCTAAAAGGAGGGGGAATCTTTTGCAGTGTTTAAATGATTCATCATATTCATTTGGAATGAAGTAGTGAGCTGAATAATTCACTTTTTCCAGCGCTGCAGATGGAATAAAAAGTAACAGTTTCTGTACAATCGTCTCACTTCTCCCGGGTGCGCCTTTCACAACAGTATATGCCCCCTGTATATATTTATTCCACTGTGGTTCTTCCTGTCATCTCCTGCTTTTGTTAAATGTTTACTCTTACATTTTCCTCTCAAAACTAATGTTCCATCTCAGATATGATCACTCTTTACAAAGTGGTTGTGTCACTTCCTCTCTGCACAGCATAATAGATGCGTGTTTTTTTCATATACATCCATAGTATTCCTTACAGGTTCAGAAACAATGTGCCACGTCTCCCTTCTTGTCTGCCACCGTTACTCATTCCTGTGAGAGTTGAATTAAAATCCAGTCTAGAGATGTTTGGATTGTTTTTCTTTGTCCGAAACATTTAACAAATTATCGTTGTCCCGAGCAGAAGCAGCCTGTGCATTGTCTCAGGATCTGTGCTCAAGCATATCTGCGTTTCAACACTTATTGCTTTAAATTACATCAATCACTCCCTCCCCTGCCCTCTCACTCTCCGGCCTCCTCGGGCTCATTTTTCTCTGTCTCTTTTTATTACTTTGCCTCTTCATCTTTCTCTCCTCTAACTTCTGCTCGCATTATTCTGCCGCGGCCTGCCTTTTCATCATCCCCTGTTCCCTCCTTTCTCCCCTACCCCCTTTGCCCCCCATTTGTTCCATATGTATCAGTCCTTCCCTTCGTGTCCTCCCTCCTTTTTCTCACAATCCTCGTTAGCATTTTCCATACATTTTTCTTTCTCCTCCTTCTCCTTTTCTCTTTCTTTAAAAAGTTGCGCAAGGTTCTCAAACTGCGGACCCCACTCTTCCATGCCGGCCCCCCAGTCGTCCTTGTCTCCGTCTTTGTCTGCGTCACTTTCCAGCGAGCTTAGGGAGCCAGCCCGCGACCCAGTGCCCTCCAAGCCGTACACTTGCACTGAATCATACGGTGGCTGAGAGGGGTCAAAGGTGACTTGGGCGAGGCGCAGGCGGAGGAATTCCCCGACTCGTAAGGCCAAAGACGGACCTCCAGGAGCTCCTCGCACAGCTTCCACACCGGGTGTAGCCCAGGCAGCACCCAGAACTCCAGGATACCCCCCTCGTGGCAAAGGCAAAAGCTGAGGGCTCATATCTCTTCTTCCAACCACATACCCCCCTATCCCAACACGGTCACGCCAGTCTCCGATAAAGCCTTCCGGAAATCCAGTTGGCGTTCCACTAAGAGAGATCCCACCTTCTCGGTCTCCTCTCCCCACTACGAAGCTACTCCCCATCTCCAGTCCGCCCCTTCCCAGTGTCCCTGGATAGTCCCTCTGCCCTGGTCCTTCTCTCTCTCCTGTTGTCCCACCTCCTGCTTCTGTCTCACCCTGGATGGACCCCGAGCGTTTTGGGGACATCCCGGCTCGTGAGGCTCTTCGTCCGGCCAGTGGGAGTGTTGCAGAGTCGCAAACCCAGCCGCCCGTGGTGCCATGGCATCCCTGTCCCATCATGGAACCAGAGCGTGTCATCACCAGGTTCTGCTCCCGGGGCAAGCTCTCGGACTGCACCTGCGGGGAGGGGAGGTGAGTGGATTCAGAGAGGACTTGGGGATAGATCTGGGAGTGTTAAGTTTGGAGATAAAATGCCATCAGCACATTTTGGAAAGAAGGGGATGTGGTGACAAATGAGACAAACAAGGGAGATGAAGAGAGGCAAATGGAAGATATTAATTCAAGACTAGAATGAGCTAACACTGCACTGTGAGAAGGAAATGGACAGGAAGTGATAAAAAGATAAAATATTTCCAAATTAAACAAAGAAACCTAATAAATAAAATGCAAAATGATAATGAACAGCAGAATATAAATGGCTGTCCAAATCTCCATCTTCTGTCTACATTCAAAATAAATTAATACAGTATTGCAGTAACCATGACAACTATCAATATTAATTAAATGTATATAATGTATTTGCTTTGACTAACAAATGTAATTAAATAATTCATTATCATTTATGCTTTATATGGGCCCCATCTGAATTGACAAGTCAATGTAATATTTGTCCAATTTCAACATCTCTAGCTTTCTTTCCCCACACACAAGGACTGCCATCCATCAAAGCTCCCACTCGCCCTTCACATATGCATTAACTGCTGACACTCATTTCACAAGCCAGGATTGTTTACACAGGTATTATTATAGTAGCCTACCACTTTGTATTATACACATTGTGTAATGTTACCTTTCTCCCCATGTACTTTCATTTTACTATAGGTGTAATACCAAGGGCATTGTCACTTTATCAATGGACCCTGCTACAAAAGAAATAGGAGCTTTCCATAATTTTGTTTTTACTCTAATGTCAATATTTTGCTCTTATTGAATAAACTGAATGAACAACTAGTCTCCCTCAAGAAAAGATAATAAAACATTAACTATTACAAACATTTATAAATACATATAACATAATGACACTACTAAGTTCTAGTTACTATTGTGCAAGAGATGATTGTGTGTCCTAAGGCTGAGACAGTAGCTCGCAGAAGCTGAGCAGCTCACATAAAACTATATAGTATGTGTAATTGCTGCTAAAATGCATTTGCGGGAGGCCAGGACATTTGCTGTCAGCCTTTTAATCGGCCAAGCTTTATAGCAGTGGAGTCAGGGCAGAATTCTGCTTATGTGCACTGTCTCACAAAGGTGTCAGGTGTATGTAACAGCTCTCTGCAGTGGACATAATCATTATATTCTGTGAACTGTCACACTTGAAGCTGGTGCAAATCTTACCCAGTCCATGTCCTGACCGTTGAGTTTGTCCTCACTGGCCTCGGTGCAGTTACTGGCTGTGCCTGTGCCCCCTCCTCTATCATGACTGTCAGATGTCCTCGGGGTACCTCCATCTGAGGTGCTCACCCTGCTCTGTGGCGCTGTTCCCTCTCTGCTCCCAGTGCGACTCCCAATGCTCAGGTCTGTGGGGGCCATGTAAACAGCCCCAGACTCCATGGGCCCCACCATGGCTGCCTGATTCTGAATGACCAGGGAGTGGTCCGGCTGGCCTCCAGGGTAGCGATATCCCAGCTCGGCCAGGCCAGGTTCGAACGCCCCTCCAGGAGTGCGGCGCAGGACCGGGAGAGTGGCACTGCTGTAACAGAGGCGGCCGTAGAGAGGACCCCCAGGGCCGCTGTAGGTCTGCTCCAAACCCTGGTTCTGAGCCCAGCTGTATGTGCGACCCTTCTCCACTGTTCGATGGGCATAACGACTGGAACAAACACACACCCTATTACACTGTGCACAATAGTGCCTCAATAGTGGGTCAAAAACACATGCACATGAAATCATTTTCTGTAAATATCCTAGAGTAGAGCTGGAGGTCCTATAGCAATGGGGTAACAATTGATATTCACTAACATGAAATACTCTTTCACACTAGTGTAAAAAATCTTCACACATTAATTAAAATAAAGCAGTATTGCTGAGAGAAAGGTAAAGTTTATTACAAAACATTGCACAGAATTGCATTAGTAGCATGTGTTGTTGTTGTGTCCACCACCGCAAACAGTGGGAAATAATTTTCCTAAAGCAGTCTTTGTATTTCTCATATGGCTCACATGAATTCATCCAAACTAATTATTAGTCCAAAGGCAAATAATGCTCTTTCAGTGCAACATCAAAGTAAGTGAACACAACACAGTATTGTAGAGGGCCTGAACAAGCCATACCTAACAAACACAACAGTGGTGTTTTGAGTGAAACTTAATCATCACTAGAGAACTAGAGATTCTGACGTTCATTTTGTCTGTTAGAATACTGATATTCATTCACCTTTATACACTGGCTGTAGGTGGGTATAGCTGTCACAGGACTGATGATGTATTTCGTGTTGCTTTTTTATTTATTTATTTTTGCTTTTCAAAAAGAAGCACTTGTCTTTAAGGAAAATGTAAATACACCTTTTTTATGCTCTGTTCTTCATAGATAAAACCATTACCTGAAGCAAAGTGTTCTGGGCACAGAAAACTCACATATTCCTGCTGTCCAGCGTGCGATAACCTCTAGTACGTGAGCTGTGGGGGGCGCTCTGGAGCGCAGCTATGTCAAAGGCTGCAGTATCGGCCTCTCCTCCGCCCTCGTCATCATAGGTGATAATGTTCTCCCTCACATCGTCCTCTTCCAGAGGAGACAGCGAGTCACGCTTCTGACGCCGCAGCGATAATGACAGGGCGCTCACGGCTGGGGACGGGTGACAGAAAAAACACGACAGGCAGCCATGGAAGAGAAATTGGAAAAAGAATGATGAACAAGGGAGAAGGGGCACAAGTCGCAGGGGAAATAAGAGGAAGGAAGGTTTTGGAAGAGTGAGGAGGCAAGAGAGCAAGGGAGCACATTCAGGAAAGGAGGTGAGACAAAACGAATAGTGACGAGGCCCTGGGTTAGGGCTGGTATATCATATCAGCAGCTTGCATGCCGCCGCTTGGTAATTGACTTTGAGCTGCAGCCAGGCAAATGGACCTTTTATTCTCTCATGACTCTGCATGGCTCTCCCCAGGCCCCAGAGCACACCACGTTTGACCTGGGGCAGGGGTAGACTAACCAATCTCTTTGACAAACGGCCTTTGATTTAATTCATCTGAAGTATGGATGACTGGCATGTTCATGTTTTTCAACAAGGGTTGATTTCAAATTATGTTCACAGGTGTCAATGGTGGTATCCAAACTCAATCAATCAATCAAAGTGAAATTTTGGAAATGGTGCACTTAAAAATAATGGCCATATCCTTTTGATTGAAGGATAGGTAGTAGTAATTAATTACCATAAGAGCTAATACCATAAAATTAAATAATCTGAATACAAACTATTTCAGCTGGACATAATCAAATAAAAAAGATAAATATATTATATTATTAATCTTTGTTAAAAGTATATAAAAGTCAAAGTTAGAAGCTATAAGTTTTTAATTACGGTGATGGAAACCGCGTGAGTAGAAAAGAAGTGCTGATTGTCCAAACACACATTTCCGGTTGCAGATAACGCCCTTGTCACTTGAGAACTCATTTTCTAACTCCAGCAGAAGTCACTCGGCGTGATCACCTTCACGCCATGTTGCGCTTCTTCCTTGATTGAACTAGTCTCCTCTGGAATGATAATGCCCTATCACCGAGGCATGAGTAGTGATCCACCAGACTGAATGGAAATGACAATGATGCTGGCCGCATGCCAGAGCCTTCTCAGCACCTGCACATTATCCAATTGAGCTCTGAGGATTTGTGCACAGGTAGCACTGACATTTTATTATGCCCTATCCTAAACCACGGGGCCCAACACTCAGGCAGGATTGTTATTTTAGCTGTGATTAGCTCTGACCTTGGCAGAGGAGAGCACTGGGCGCAATATGAAAAAGGCCGCTACCACAGAACTGTGACTAAGGGCAATATTTACGCTGCTGCCTCCTTTATTTCCATATGCAGATGAAGCTACCAGATACGGAGACTGCAGGAGGTCACGTTTCGGTTCAATTTTCGGATACCGAGAGTAGTGGAGGACAAGACCCAACTCCAAAACCTATGTCATTTTTGTCAGCGATGCTTTTTATTTATGTGCAGTGAGTGTAGCATATAAACTGTACTAAATACTCAGTAAGCAAATACTCTTGTTTATACATGACCAAATATTTCATATAGAAATAGCATGAGATCTAGAAATAACCAAATGGCTAAAGAGAAGAGACACTAGCCAGTGTAGATTATATAAGGCAGAACAATCACAATAAAAATACATGTGTCTACATTTCTCTATAATAAGGCAACAATTATCATAAATGAGTAGAGATGCGATGTTAAATAACTTTTGAAACCCTGCATTTAGTTGTAAGTATTTACACTGCGCTACAAGAGTATTATAATCTATATCAAAATTATGCAAAGCTTTTCTGCTCCTTGCAGCAAAAAAACTCCAGCTATAATAATCCTAGTTAAATCTTTTTCCCTAAATGTAACTTTAGACGTTTTTAGCGTATTGCTTACCTAGACATCACCATCTGGGCTCATCCACAAGGCGCTAGTGATTGAGACAGTTTTACTCAATCCATTATGAGTATTTTGGCCAGAAAAAACAATACTTGGTTGCAGGCGGGCCAGGGTGGCCGAGCCCAGGTGGATAGGCTGAGTGCTGATGGATCGGCGTAAGGCCAGAACAATAGCGAAGACACTCTCGTCAGTACTTAGCCACAGATCACCGCCCTCTTAGTGCGTTTTCGTAGGTATTCCACGTGTCCCTCGGCTCGTTCGGAGAGTACGATCCCATTATTCTTACAGGCGAGGCACAACACGAGACACTGTGACCGTTGCGTCAAGTGCTAGGTTGAGGCCTGATGGAACTGCTACAACCGAGCCAAACAAATGGTAGAGCGGACTAAGGGAAACATCAACTTATCGATATATACAGCAATTGCCCTGAGACGCAGAGCGCACATAGGAACAAGAGCAGCCAAAAACATTGGCGTGTACTGTACACCCTGAAGTTGACTATGCACCACGCCTTATCACTATAGACAAGACACCTGTGCATGGGATCACTGAGTCAACTAGTCACAAAGAGAATTATCAAAACGCATATAATGATTTTTTAATGAATTGACCACAACAGTATAGTTACAATACAAAGCAAGGAGATGGCACCTTCTAAAAGACTCATTTCAACTACGATCCAAAGGGAAAAAAAGTATTTTTAACGACAAAACCCAAAAGACGGGATTGAGCTCAACTGCTAAATCATTAAATTAAACAACCTTTCAGAAGAAATGAAAGTTTTCACACTACTAAATACTTTGTAACAGCAACACACTCAGTCACAGTATCTAAGTCACAGGTCGCGCTGTGTTGTGGTACTAGGAGCTCTAGCTGTAAGGAGAAAATTGACACAACAGGCAGCATGCAGGGGGACTACTAGAATGCTGAGTTCAAACAGAAACAGAGTGAGCGGACTTTTAAATGTTTTAATAGAGAGACAAATACAATCAACACCCACCATGCTGGAGGAGCCTCATATGAAAACGTTTTCTATAATGAACTCTTTCACTGTAATCGCAAAAAATACAATAAGCTGATGGATGGAGTGCGTATAAAACTGAGTTGTTGAGTGCAAACGGCCTACAGCGATAACAAATTCCTTCCTGTTGGTGTGGCATCTGATGGCTATTACAAACTTCTATCACAAGACGAGGCGTCTTAACTGAAGTCTTGCGTGCGAAAAAACAAGCGATTTGAATATGCAGTGGCTTCTTCAATGTCCAAAATCATGCATCAAAAATAGCGTGACTTCTTCAAACATCGTTTGCATTAATTTCATGACACGATCATTTGACTCTGTCAACGTATATGAGGTGATATCATTATGAGTTCTCACTTAGTTAGCATATCAGACATGCACAATAACAAATCTAAATGTAAAGATTAGGTGATGTGGTATTAAATAATTTTATCTTATTTTTTTTATTAATAATATATATCACTAAATTATATAAAAAATCAAGTCAACTTTATATGAAACGTTTTGACTCATAATTAATGAATATGTTGAATCGAACTATCAATATGGCATTATAAAGGGTCTCACATTTCCTAGATCCAGATGACAAGATGATGAGTACGAGTGTCACATAAGAGTAATAGTGCGAGAGAGATATCGTGTTGCTCAGGGCAATGTACTTTTACTAGTTAATATCAATTAACTTCGAGTATATATCACAACAATAGTGTAGACACATATTTATTCGGGATAGATTAGTCATCTCGCTAATTTTGTGATGACTGACTGTACTGCTAGACTTAGACAGTTATTCCTTTAGTCTTATGTCATATTATCTCAAGAGATAGTATTATATTATGACGGTAATTGTATTTTTAGTGACATAAATGTGCATTTTGGTGTGTAATTGAGGCTGAGTCACAATAGTTGTCACCAGCGACCTTTTAATTCATCTTCGATTATTAAATCAATTAGGCACTGCCACTTTGGAAATGATGCGAGAGATGTTATTTAATAAAGTGTTTATTTACGAGCATATATTAGCTCTAACCTTGCAACTTATTGGACTATCCTAAAGAAATATAGACATATTTGAGTTTATCAACCTAGTATATAACTAAGCGTAAAATACGACACATCAATGTCGAAATATTATTGTATCAAATCGCATATGTATATTCGTATATAAAGCGGTGATTTGTAGATCGCAAAATGCCTGACACATTATTCTGCATGAGTCTTCGCATATGGTAAATAGAAGCGGAATATTTATTTTGTGAGAACATCTAGTTATTTCGTGTAAATTACGAGGGAAAACGATCTTTACATTATATAATCAGGCCGATACCACACATCCTTGTTATTACACTTAGAGGAAGAATGAGAGACTTTCAGTTTTATTCATGCTGACGTGTCGTGTTTTGTATATTAAAATGAATTTTGTTCTTAGACTGAAGAGTCAAGTGTTTCAATGCTCTCATACCGTGCTATATAATAGATCCAGAGTGCTATCCGAAAATAATATCCCTCATTTTGACAAGAACTAATCTTCACAGGTTAACATCCACAAATAATAAAGATGCTCCATATAATATGTCCTATTCAAGTATAGCATTTCCTAAACATTAGTGGCTCTTATGGTGGTACTGACCTAACCATAAAAAAATAGTGAGAGAGCGGCGTATAATTAGGGCCAGCATCAGTGGAGTTGTTACTAACTAATTGTTATAAGCACTAAGGATATGTCAATATTCGTGGAGATGACAGTTATAGGATGTAGAGAATGCAGAGAAAACTTTATTCGAGAGCATCACAAGTGCCAATGACACGAAGAAGAGAGGACAATAGACAAAAGCGAGAAGGAGAGTGAGTGTAAAAAAGAAGCATCGAGCCAATATATCTCGAAGAATAGCGAACTGCTCGAGGCACAGTTAAAAAAGGTAGAGTATCAGTGCGAGCGATTATCCAACTTCTAGTACAAGATATAGTATGAGAGCAGATTACAGTGGAGGAAGGACTACTGTTGTCAAAACAGTCAACACACGCACAACTGCAACTTGTAACGTGTTCCAGTGTCCTATCCACAGTTCTGTAAAAAGCCACACACATATGAAACTAAACGTCCGTAATAGCATAGGATAATATGAGATGGTTCCTGTAATAGTATACGGTACTTTAGTGTATTGAGCTATCTGTGAGGAGTGTATAGATAGATAGAGAGAGAGTCACTGAGGCTTATAGGAAGAGAGTAGGAAAACAAGCTGTGTGTTCCATAATATTCGAAGTACACAATCTGCAAAGAAACTACAAATTGATTTAGGGAAACCCAGCTATACAACATCTTTGCTTATGCTGACTTGTTCACTCTATTTTTCCATCTTTTTGAGTGATGAATCATATGTGCGCTGTACGAAAGATGGGTTCGGATTGCCAACTGTAAGCCGCAGCTTCCTTATTTGAGTAAAAGAGTATATCTTCTGACTAATAATCAAAATAGCATTTATATTTAGTCTTTAACACCATCTTTAATTGTTACTATTGTTTATATATTATTGAAGTTTTAAGTGTGTACAATATATGTACCTACTGTGTGCGAGTCAACCAACAACATAGTATCTACACAGTATTAGAACACACAGCGGAATTGGAGTCACCAGAGTAGTTATTACGTGTTAGGACGACAAATGTCAAAGCTATGTCCATACAAGTATTTTTATTTTCGTCGATATTATACTAGCGTTCTGCTGAATTCTGTGTGAGCTTTTCTGAAATATATAAGTACATCACCTTCTACTTATTGTGATGTCTAAGATGATTGATAGATGCGTGGAATGATCTATATCAGGTGACTATGCATGTATCACAGTATACGGCCACAACACGGCGAAATCGTGCACTTAACCGCCTCAAGACCTGCCCATTGGTGCTGTATCGTAAGGCGTGCATTGCACTTCTTATATGATGACGGTTGAACCAGGATTAAAGCGTGCACAGCAAGACAAGTCAGAAAAAAGAGCTTGTGGTGTCTGTCCCTCCACTGGTGAGACCAAACGTGCGTCTGTCTCCTCTAACAAAATTATATTATTTTCGTCAGTTTAGGACCAAACACTCCATATACAAGGAAAGAAAAACTTCTTTGCTTAATACACAATAGCACAGTGACGCAATTATAGATTTGTGTAAATTCTTCATTCTACAGAATCTAAAATGAGTAGAGTCGATGTCAATGATGGCTGTGACCATCATTTCTCATTTGCATTGGTTATGTTGAGTGACACCAATACCACGTAGCACTTCTCCATTCAACATGAGCGTCATCACCATATATGTATCTGATGTATATGACCAGAGTATATCTGCAAGTCAAGTTATATGAGGCACGTCTTCTTGAGGAATAGCGGACTTCACACTGACTTTAAATCACCATTGGAAGCAATATTACAAAGATGCTTTTGCCAATACTGTGAGCAAATGGTTAGTCAGATCTATTCTAGTCTGAATGTATATATGCTATCCAACAAAGAAGCTTACTTATTTCACACCAATTATACAAAAGTGCACATGGTTCCATAGAGAGAGCTTTTAAGATAACTACCTCGCTCAAACAAAATATCTTATAGTCCAGTAAAAAAATCAGACTCGTTCGAAGCACCTATCAGAGATTCTTCATTAGTTCTATGCTATGGATCAAAAAAGTAATTTATCTTATGAGCTCCCTACTAGAAGTGAAGGCTATAGTCAAGAACTGGATACTAGAACTGTGGATTATGACGTGGGAACCCCAACTACCGTTGTTTATGATCTGGACATGGTTGAATACAACTAACGCACACTGCTCACCGCGCGTTAGAGAGTCTCCCTCATGCTATCTTACCTCTTCAAGACATTTACCCTCTGAGAACCTTAACATACAAACAACAGATATTTTATATACCGAATGTGAGTTGATTGTGAGTTGTGGTTAGTGAGCGCACGACAGTATAGGCCTGATGATGGTACTCACTGCGACTGCACACTATGAAGCTCTCCGAACTCTCAATCTGTAGACAAACTTATTCATCTAGTGACCAAGCCTCTATTGCCATTACTAGATCCAAGGCGATGCGCGCAATCAACTTAATATATCAAAGTCACGGGTTCCTCATTTCCTCCATCAGTGCGGACACAACAAGAGAAGCAACTGTTCAGAACAT